CAGCAGGTGGACCGCGCAGACGCTATCTTGCGCACGCACGCACTGCGCGGGCCCGCCGCTCTCGCCGCGCACTGGCATGACGTCATCGAAACTAGGTACGTAGGCATACGTACTCTTTATTACCGTTTTTGGAATGAAGAGGAAAGTAGAATTATTTGATTAAGAGTAATTTAGTCTGATTATTCTTACACATGTAATTTTTTTTTCATTATTTTGTTACAGAAAGTTTTTGCAGAATGCCCTCCAGAGTTTGTTGATGTCCGATTTAAAATATTGCCAGTCCGATAATATCGAGCATCAGTTTTGGAAAATGTTGTACTACAATTTTCTGGAAGTGTTGAGGAAGAGCATACCGCAGTTACCTCCCGAAGTGAAGCCTGATGTTATAAAACTGATCAATACAATAATTGAAGAGGGGAACGTTTTCTTTGAGAATCTCGTACAAAGTTTGGAGAAAACATACAAGTTCAATACGGACGATTATTTGAACGATAATCACGTTTTGCCGCCGAAGGGTCTCGGTTATGTGGGACTCGCTTTGATCTCAGTACAAAAGTTATACGTATTTTTGGGAGACTTAGCTAGATATAAGGAACAAGTGAATGAAACTAATAATTTCGCTAAGAGTAAATTTTGGTACACTAAAGCTCAACAGATTAATCCAAAAAATGGAAGGCCATATAATCAATTAGCATTATTAGCTATATACGCTGTAAGTATGTAAATACAACGTTTTAATTATTTTAAGAAATATTTAAACTAATTAATTTATCATATATTAACCGATTTACTTTTTCCAGAGGAGAAAATTAGACGCTGTTTATTATTACATGAGAAGTTTAATGTCTTCGAATCCCTTTCAATCAGCTCGTGAAAGTTTATTATCGTTATTCGATGAAAACAGAAAAAAGGTAAATTAGATTTAATTATAACTTTCGAATAAAAATAACGCATTTTACGGTTACGTGTTTATTAGGATTGTGAAATGCTTAATAGTTTATAACTAATATAAGGAGGAAAGAATTGTTTGTTTGTATTGAATAGATTCTGAAACTTCTTTCACTGTTGGGAAGCTTCCCCAGATATCATAGGCTATACATATATGTTTATGTTGTTTCGTTTTTTTCCGCGCTGACGAAGTCTCAAGCAATTGTCTATGTTAGGGATGATGGAGAATGTTAAAATCACTTTTGAAATGGAACAACTAGTTCTATAGTCGATTGGTACAAATCTTTATTACTTATAAATAGTAAATAATGAATACAATATTGTGTGTACATCAGTATGAGGCAGCGGAGAAGAAACGTCGCGCGGCGGAGGTAGTGAAGGCGGCGGAGAGTGTGGAGGCGGGTAGCGCGGTGTGCGAGGGTGGTCGTCGCGAGATCTGGCTGAGACCCTCACCCGCCACACGACATGACGAGACCTTCGACCACATGACACCAGTTGAGGTGAGCTCCCACTAAACCTCACTTATCAGCGGCTTTTGACTGCCGAGATCATTATTCCCTATAAATGGATAGGTCATAGCTTTGAAATGACGCCTGCTGAAGTTCCTGAAACTTAATTCTATCTCTTTTATTAGTGCATAGAATCATCGCCGTGACAAAATGGCGAAAATCAAATAGGCACAAAATACCACGGTTTATAGCCTGTCCATTTGAACGTGCCACTTGTATTGCCGTCACTTTCACTGGCTTTGTCAAAACAACGACAGCAATATGTGTCATTACGAGTGCCACAGAGGTTAATTGTGGAGATTATAATAGTAAACAGACTCATTAACATTCGGTTGAATTTAACATTTTTTTTTGTTTGCAGTTAAATAAAAACTTCATCACCAGTTACTTACATGTTCATGGAAAATTAATAACCAAAATTGGGTAAGTATATTTTTATGCTGACACTATTTTATATGGAGATTGACATGCTACTTAAATATCTTATTTCTGTTTCTGTCATTATCTTTGACAACAAAGAGGTAACAATATATTGTGAACGAAGATTATGGTCTCAAAAACCCACGGTAATATTTTTTACGGACACGAGAATATCTTGTAAGCTTTGTGGTCGTCATATAAGGTATAATAGCATAAGAGGCTGCAAATAGTAGAATGTTTGTATGTGTATGTGTATGTGTAAGTATGGAGACGCTGCACGAGAGCGCGCGGCGCATGGTGCGTCAGTTCCGCGCGCTGCTGCACCGGCAGCCGCTGCCCACGCCCGCCGCGCGCCTGCTGCAGCTCACCGCCCTCAACATGTTCGCCGTCGAGACCAACGCAGCACCACTCGCAGGTTACATGCACTACTTATATCTATACCGTACTATATACTACGGATTTTGATGTAGCCTGCAAGAACATATAGGCTGTTTTTTTTTATTTCACGCGGACAAAGCCGCGGGCAAAAGCTAGTGGAGTTATAATTTAGATTTACCACATATGTTACTTTGATAAATTTTCAATCTAATTGTGGCATATAACAGCGGTTCTGAAGCTGCCATCCTTTCAAAATACGTACGAAATTAGAACAACTGCCAATACTTCACGTTGACAATCCAAGACAATAGACAAATCTTACTGCTACATTTAAAATAGTTATTTGTTTGCTTAGAGTCCCTTAGTATAGATTTGGTACGCATAAACTACACTAAGTAACTGCCTTATTAATAGATTTAGTTATTAGTCTTAGTTAATTAAAAGCTGTGGACTCCACCTAGATGTGATCTTCACTTTAGTAGGATTTTTTTTTGTGTAATTCTTACATTGGTGGATTTTTTTTTAGCGGTCCCTTATTTCAAGAGAGCTTAAAATTATGTCATTAAGTAAGCTATTTAGTAAAATCGTGCAATTATTTTACGGTCGAGCGACTTACAGAACACGGAATGCAAAAAACGTACGACATGCGATCCCCTGTTTTTGTTTTGGTCTGACTCTTGTCATAAATCATACCTATATGAAGAATATTACCAATAAAATTGGATACAAATTATTATTTTTATGAAATAAGTTAATAACCAGACAAATCCATATTAAATAAAAATGTTTTTTACAATTTCCTTATGAATCATCATCATCAGCTATACGTCCCCACCGAGGGGCTCGGAGCCTACCCTTAGTTCAGAGTGATCAGGCCATAGTCAACCACGCTGGCCAACTGCGGGTTTGTTGACTTCACACATATCTTTGAATTGCTTCTCAGATACGTGCAGTTTGCATCACGATGTTTTCCTTCACCGTAAGAACGTCGGATAAATGTCATACGTAAATCGGAAATAGAAAAACACATTGGTACATGGCGGGATTCGAACCCAGGACCTGCAGATTCCAAGTCAAGTTCTTGACCCCAGAGCCACCGACGCTCCTTATGAATACGTTTACTATTTTTTACGTCCATTTTGCTTTTGTATGTTTCAATGTTTTGAGATATACTATGATATCAAAAGCGAAAAAGATGTACAACACATTCTAACTTAATCAAAACAAAATATTAGTTCTCATATGATTTCAAAAAATCTTTTATAGCAGTTAATAGGGTAAAAAAATCAGGTTCAATTTATTTAAACCTTTAGCCACAGTACCATACAAAGTGTATTTATATATCGTTTCCGCTCGACGGGATCGACGTGAGAAATCTTGATTTTTACGACTCCTTTTGCCGAACGAGGTTAAAGCGAATAATTTAAAAACAACTCTCACGATCTTATTCTCCTAATAGCGTGACCAAAGGTTCTGACAATTTGAGTCTGATTACACGTTTTCCCATTTAAAAAAAAGGCTCAACATGCGCTGAACTAATAAATCTACTAATACAACATATAAAAAGTTGTTTAATGAGTCTCAACTTTATATTAAAATACGACGTCGAACTGCAAAAATCTTTAAAAGAGCTCGGCTATCCTAGGTTATGTTACCTTAAGCTACTCGGATCATTTGTAATTTTTTTATGTAGGACCAAATAAACATGAACCTTGTCAACTACTCTTTCATACAGCAGCACAGACCGCTTCCCTAAACTTGAAACTCAAATCACTCTAAAAATATCTAAACAGTGACTAATTTTAATATTTAGTGTTAAACTAGCTACCGCCTGTGACTCCTTCTGTATTGAATTAAGAAAAAACTTAATTAGTAGCCCATGTTCTTCCAGACTATGTTTCACATCTATACCAGATTTCAGCGAGATCCATGCAGCCGTTCTGGAGATACCATAAAACAAACATCCATCTCAATATTGTAGCTTAATTTAAAAAAAAAAAACAAAGAATTATAAAGTCTAGGTACACTACGCCAGGAAAGAACGAGATAACAGCATAGCGCCGCCAAATAAAAACAAAAATATGAAACAAACATCCAAACATTCGTACTTATATTATTAGTAAGAAATAAGATTAGTGAAATGAAATATTGTGGTAAAAGAAGTCTCACCATAGTTGTTATAAATCATACTTATGTAAATCTGTCTGTATATTAAAATGATCAGGCCACACACACATCTTTACGTACACATGTGAATAGGTATAATTATTATTATTTAAGACTGCGTTACCGTTGTTTCTACGTTTACCGTAATTTAAATTTTGAAACGCTTTAATAACGGTTTATCCAATTTTCTCAATTCCCTTTGCTTTTGCTGTCTTTTTTGAATTTATTTTTATTACCCGTATCCGCCTCACTCGTTGCCTAACAACATATAAGTATGATTTAGTATTGTGTAATAGAATTACCGTTACATGATTTGATTCAAGGTTATCTGGACATAATAACTTTCGTTTATCCACATTTTTATTGCATTTCTTTGGTGATATGAAAGTTTAACTAACAGATAGTCTTTCGTTTTGAATTTTATTAGGCAAAGGTTATGACAAATTTATGAATTTATCATCCCGTGGGCGTTGAGTTATTTCAAATGATTTTATTATTTGGAAGAATGTCTCTATTTTAATTAAGCTTAATATTTATTAATTCGATTTTAATGTTAAGTTTAACATCGTTTTATAAAATGTAGGTTCAATGAAAGCTTTGCTGATTAACGTAAGCTTTTATCAAACATGTTGATAATACTATAAGCTGGTTTGCTAACTCCTTTTTTTTAATTAACTTATAACGAATATGTTATCATGAAAGTTAATTAGGTTATTAGAGTAATAATGTAAAAACCGATAAAGCGATAAGCATCAAATACCTATATAAGTTGAAAATTGCTGTCTTATTAATACCCGATACGAGTAAAAGCAAAATTAATTACTGCGCCTCAAAGTCAAAGTTAATTATACATGAAGAAGTAATCAGCGGACATGAGAAATAATTGCTTATCGTAAAAGTGTGTATCCATTATCTGCGAGATGACGCCGGACACCGGACTCCGGACGCCGGACTTGGGACAAGGGACTCGCGCCTCTATGGACTTAGATAATGACCCTTTGCACAAGACAATAATTTTTTTGCAACACTATAAAATAATACAAACAAGTTATTTTATTTACACAGATCGTTTATCGTAAATCAAATAACAATAATTTGAAATTCTCGGTGCATTCGTAGTAGACATTTTATAATTAAACAAGTAGACAACTTATGTTAGAAGAATAATGAAAGGGAAACTTTTTCTATGTATAAATTGTCTAAGATAGTGATTATTTTTTTCAATTTTACGGTCTGTGAGCATTCGCAATGCGCTTGCAATAATTGCGTGTACGCCGAATAGATTTTCAAAATTAGCCCATAAAGGCTTGTAAAGTTGGCCGTTTCCTGCGCCCTCGACCGGGAGTAGGCAGTAAGGGTTTGTAATTACAAATTACAAGTTATCGGAGGAGGTTGATGCACCGCGAGTACGACACGCCGGCAGCGATGCGGTGCTCGACAGCGCTTCAAAAAGCTGCAGCGCTTCTCGCCGCCGGACAGACAGGTTCAACAAACTGACTCCACGGAACGGTGACGCCGTTTTTACGCGATTATACGTAATGTTATTTTATATTACACGAGGGGAAATTACGGCAAGCGAGGGCCTTAATTACGACATTCTGTGCGATCGTGCCCTTTGCCATCCTTCACAGAGTAACACCGGCAAAATTTATTACATAACAATGTCTTATTTATAAATATTCATGTTATATCTTTTTATAAATTACGTTATATCGTTGATATGAACATGTAGATTTCTTTATATCCGATTTAGTACCGACCTTTTCATCTGTAAGTTCATTCCTCTGTCTGATTTGATAAATTACATGAAGTGCTATAAATAATCTTACGTTAAAAATAGCTATCCATGCGGAGTGAGGGCGTGTTTGGTCTGTTATAATTCGTGTGCGTGACGATATCAACATGCAATTACGAAGATTGCAGCATGTGTCAATGTCATGTCAGTAATGGGGGAATATTAAATAAAAATGTCTGGTAATAGTGTGTAAAACATGATAGGTTGTTTTATAAAGTATACGAGCTGTCAACCGCGACTCCGTCCGCGCGAGATTAAAAAAACTTAATTAGTACTGTATGTGTTCTTCCATTCTAAGTTCTATATCTCTGCCAAATTTTAGCGGGATCCCTTGAACCATTCTGGAGATAGCTTCTAACAAACATCCATCCATCAAAATTTTCGTATTTATAATATTAGTAAGATAGTAATATGAAAGACGTGTGTGTGATGTCGACGGTGTCAGTTGCAGGTGCAATCCCGGTTGTTATTTTTAGCCGGATCTATTTATATCGGACCGGCTTCGCGCCCGCGGCACTGGCCCTCATCTCCGGCCCTTCTAGATTCCTTACTTCATAAACTGGCATTATCATTTTTAACAGCTTGTTATTCTCAATTATATCGGCGTGATGGATATTATATAGCGTGTGACCGATATTTAATAGCTCATGTTGCATCTAGTCGCGACCGCTTGGACGCCTTCTTTTTGCTCCACTTCGATATTAATTAAGCGATACCATCTTATCGAAGTCACAGGATATTTTTGATATTGCATTTACGGTTACTTGACCCCTACATTGTATAATATTAAAGCGTTTGTTATTTACTAGTTGTCGCCCACGACTCCGTGTGCGCGAAATTAAAAAAATCAATAAGTAGCCTCTGTGTTCTTCTAGACTGTGTTCTATATCCATGCCAAATTTCAGCCGGATCCGTTCAGCCGTTCTGGAGATACATATAAACAAACATCCATCCATCTAAAATACGCATTTATAATATTAGTAACATGTTTTTCAATTAATATAAATTCTTTTAAAATATTTTGTAACCTACCGAAGTGATAAAAGATGATAAAAGTTACAAATCTTTTTATTTATTATTTGGCGTTGATAATAAAATCGAAGGAGAATTTATTGAAATCTTTTTAAGTATAAAAAAACATTGTTATTTTCCAAAGTTAACAATAAGAGAAAGGACAATGTTTATTTAGAAACCAGTTTCAGTTGATGCAAATATATACAAAGTGTTGAGTTGGAATGACTAGATGTAACAGCTAACAACTGTTTGATGGATATCATAACAGTAAAGAGAGGATATAAAAATTTTACCGCTTCCTTTGCATGACTCACATCCTAAAGACAGTTCAAAATTATACTAATATTATAAATGCGAATGTTTACATGGATGGTTGTTTGAAGGTATCTCCGAAACTGATCTCGATGGAATTTGGCATAGATGTAGAACATAGTCTGGAAGAACACATAGTCGTAGCTACTAAAACAGTTTTTTTTTATCAACGTTTCTTTTTAATTTCGCGCGGACAGAGTCACGGGCGACAGCTAGTGTTTTGATAAATAAATGGTCTTCGATTTGTTTTAGAGATTCGCATTATGAAATATTTCATACGATGAAAATATAAATGCAGTTAGACCACACCGCAACTATTGAGATAAGACTTTGAAATAAATGGCCGAAGTCTGTGAGAAACTTATGAATAAAAATCAAATAAAACGGTATATAAATTGGTGTCGTCGTATTTAAAATTTATTTCTATTATGACTGAGCTTATACTATTTCATCGTAGATTATTATTTTATTTTACTACATATTATTTGAATATTCATTTATAAATATTATTTATTATATTATAATACATTAAAAATAAAGACTCTGTTATTTAATGTACTATGTAAATGCATTTTTTCTATTACTACATGGCCCTACTTAGACCGAATTAGGACTAATTTTAGTCCAGTTTCCCGTTCTACTTTTTCCTTAAAAGGAAATGATGGGAAGAGGGAGTGGATTTGATGGAGAAGACGCGTAGGAATGGAAAATATCTTTCTGTGCGTCGGGATCCGGTGGCCGCTTACGTATTTGCCACCTTATGAAAAAAAATATAACATATGTTTATTTTATACTTTTTATTTATTAAAATTAAAGGTATCATAAACTTTGTGATGAGAATAGAACTATGGTTATGAGTTACTTGAAATTGTATTCGGAAGTTTACACGTGAGTTTTGTTTTCACTGCCAACTTTGTTTAGAAGGTTTATATGTAGACGAGTGATAGAATGGCGAATCAAAACGGGTCTAGAGCGAGGCAATTTAAATTTTATGATAGTCGGAAATTGAAAAAGTCATTACGAAAATTAGTAACAGTAGTGTTAATAACAGTAATATATAAAGAAATTGGCACGTTATTGAAAATAGTAGAACAAAATAATAAAAATATATTTACGTCCTAAAAACACTTTTTATCTACATCGTTCTATTTTATCCAGAGTTGTAGATTATCAGGCTGTTTGATCAGAAGGTTAAATGTAAAAAAAAAAGAAATGAGAAAAGGGCGATTCTTATACTCAGCTTTTGTTAAATTTATGGACCATCTTTCCTATATTTATATGTATTATATGCTCGAACTAATCATAAAGATGCAATGTAAATTACCCTTTTACACCTTCCAGTCTTGCAAAAAATAAATATAAGTTTTATACAGAGTCGGGTGACAAGAACGGTCGATCGGCGTGGCTGGAATGCGCGTTGAGCGTGTCCCTGCTGATGTTCGGCGCGCTGCTCGAACGATGCTGTGCTCTGTTGCCTGAACCACCCAACTCACAGCAGCACGCTGACGCCTTCCTCCTGTTGCCTGCTATAAAGGTTACACATAGTCCCTCTGCGATATTGATACTCTGCTCATTTTCTACTTTTTGGTATTAACATAAAGACCTATTAAGTGCCAGTATCAGTACAGATCGAAGAGTTTGTGCTGACGCTGTTTGTATTTGAATTATAACATCCATCTTAAATATTTAAAACTCAGACTTATATTCTTTGCAGGTGTGGTCTGACTGGATGCTATGTCATAGCAGTATATGGAATCCACCACCTTCATTCGACAACTTCGAAATCGAGTAAGTTTCAAACTTTAAGTATAACATTATTTATCACTGTATAGTTTTTAATTTGACGAAATTTTTTATTTCGTTTAGAAGCGATAACGAGCCGTGGGATTGGCTCGCGAAGCTGATGAACATTCTCGAAAATCTCGATGATAAGTCTATAGACTTGGAAAGTGAAAGGAAAGAGGGTATGTATTGTTATATCAATTTAATCCAATGCATTAAATTATCCGATATCATAACAGTTATAGGAACAGAGAGTTATTGGCACACTCAGAATTGTTTATCACTAAGGACCTTAGTGTAGATTTCCCTTGCAAAATGAGCGAGCGGCCACTTTAATTCATCGTAATAGCGAAGCGACTATTGTCCATAGACATCCGCAATTGCAAATGTGCTGTCTACCTTTACTCGACAGAGGAGGGTACTCTCGGAAAGAGAATATTTGCCCTTCCTATGCATCAAATATATCTCCTTCCAATTTTTATCTTATAAGAAAAGGGTGGGGTGGGAAATAGGGGTAAAATAAGTTCCTAGGTTACAGTAGAGGGCATTTAATGTGTGTGCAGGGTACGTAGCGGTGCGGCTGGCGGAGGACGCGTCGCTGGCAGGGTTCACGCCGCTGATGTACATGGAGCCGGCGGTGGCCTGGCTGCCGGCTGCCAGCGCCGCGCACCACGCCGCCGAGCACGCGCTGCGCACCAGGAAACTGCTCTTCTTTGGCACCGAGTCAGTCCTCAAACCTCAAACCTACTTTACAAGACAGTCAATTGGAATGTCATCAAACAATTATCTATACATCCAAGCATTCACATTCAAAATATTAGTAAAATTTAATTGTTTATTTTGTCACCAAATAAGAATTTATATCGTTCAAGGCGAGTATACAAAGACCATTAGGCTGAGCGACGTATCCAGACTAATTAAGTAGTTGTTGGCTGTATTTCCTAGCGGTAATGTTTGTGTCAGATACCTGGTGGGCGTGGAGCCGCCGGTGCTGAGACTGGAGTACCCGGCGGGGGAGTCGCCGCGCTACGTGAGCGCGGTGCAGCGGACGAAGCCTCACTACCCATCGCTGCAGAACTTGGTAAATCACATTTTTTTATCTAAAAGTTGGGTTAAATATAAGTTATTTTCGAAATTCTGAAATAAATATTTACAATATTAGTGTTTTAATCTATGTTTATTGTGATGTAGGCGGAGGACTCTGACGAGGGTGAGAGCGTGGGCGGCGCGTCTGGTGGTTCTGCGGAGGGTACGGAGGGCGCGGGGGCTGCGGGCGAGGTGCCCGAGGGCGCGGACGAGGCCACCAGGAGGCTGCTCAGGCGGAAAGAACAACTTGAGTCCCGCAAAGCGACGCTCGAACGAAGACGACAACGAATGCAGGTTTGAAAAAAAACTAAGACTATTGCTAGAATGTGAGGATAGGAAGGGGAGAGGATGACAGGAAAGGGACTCTTTTTTTCTCTGTTCAAAATAAATGATGCTTCTGTAAGTTTTTTGTTTTTTGTTGTGTTGTGCAGGAGATGGTGGGTGTTGGGGCGGAGGTCCGCGTGCGTCCGCGCTGGCTGGTGCCAGACACCAACTGCTTCATCGACCACCTGCCGCTGCTGCAGGCGGTGGCCGCGCCGCCCAGCCCCTACACACTTGCCGTGCCCCTAGTCGGTCAGTACACAATACATCTTTACACTTACGTCAATTGCTAGCTTATCTAATTACGCTTTTTTATTTCAGTAATAAAAAGCGTAATAATACATAAATCTCGTCTTCTATATTCTTACTAACTGTAAAACTATTTTACCTTTAAAATTGGCAAGGTCATATCAGTGGTGTGCGTACAACGGAAATCACTATCATTTTGTTTTTATAAATTTGTATTTTATTCATACAAAAAAAAAAGTTGTTATCATACTTTATTTGGTTCGTTTTATACGACTGGTTTTTATGTAAACTGGTTATCGCAATAATAGGTCGGGCCTACTCGAGGGATCACTGAGTACAAACATCCAATAAATAATACATCAAGAGAAAGTATTGTACACATCGTGTTTTCATAAGTACTAAGAGTTGATTTATCACAAATTATTTATGGTATATCACAAAAAAAAAGAAATTACTTGTTTTATTAAGTGCAAACACACGGTAAGATTCAGACATGGCACGTAGAAGGGATTGGGGTAGAAGTAAAGCCTTTGTTACCGTCATGAAGAGGAAAAAGCATACGTCCATCCATACATTCAAACATAAGAATTTGTAACAATAGTAAGATGTGTGCAGTGGTGGGTGAGCTGGAGGGTCTACGGAAGTGCAGTCGCGTGGGCGGGGCGGCGCAGGCGGCGCGCAGATGGGTGGCGGAGGCGCGCGGCGTGCGGCTGGCGACTGCGCGCGGCTCGCTGCTCGCCTCGCGCTCCTTCACCGCCGAGCGCGACCGCCCGCGCGCATCCAACGACGACCGCGTGCTCGCCACCGCGCTCAATCTGCACGCCAACATTGAATCTAATGCCGACAGTACGTATTGATATTACACCTAGTTAAACTACTGCTGTGCTCACGATGACCAGACGGAACCCGCCATGGCGACTAACGTGTTCTATTAACCTTTTAGTCTATTTTTGACAGAAAATTTGTGTAAATTTTAAATTAATCTAGTTAGGGAGCCAAGGTAATATTGATACTGTAATAATTTGAATATGCCAAAAAAAAATCTGAAATAGTTTCTTTTAGAAATAAGATGCTGAATCGCCTGCTAGATTTTCACTGCAATTTGTTATCAGTTAAATACATATTGTAGGTACACAAGAAATGGTGCGCGAGGTGGTGCTGCTCACTGATGACCGCAACCTGCGCGTGAAGGCGCTGGCCGCGGACCTGCCCGCCCGAGACCTGCCATCCTTCGTCGCCTGGGCGGGCCTCGATACTGCAGCCGCCACTCAGCCCACTGTAAGCAATTTAATCTTATAAAAAAATAAAACTTAATTTTGTTTAAATAAAGTTGGCCATATTTGAACATGTGATGTTATTCATAACTCGTAACTAGCTGAAGTGAAGACGTAATGTTACGGACGACGTAGAAGAGTATGATAATAATATGGAGAAAAACTGCATTTGCTCACTAAAGATGTCAGCATAATCAAAAGTGATAGTAGCACTAAATATTAGTATTTTAAAAAAACACTTTATTTTATATACAAAGTACTCTGTGCACTGTAGTCATATGTCAAATTTCAAAAAATCTAATAATAATTTTTCTTTAAATCGCTAGAATGACGTATAAAAATTTGACAGATGACACATGACAGCTTACTCTTGGCGCCAACTACTTAGGTCTTTGGAGTTTTTTCTTGTGATTTATTACAAAGATGTAATATTGATTTGTGTTGACAGAGCCAGGCAGCGCGTGCAGGGAACAGTACAAGTGCGAATAACTGAGCGGCGTGTTGCTGTGCCGCGCTGTGCCGTGCTGTGCCGCGCTGTGCCGCGCTGTGCCGGGCTCGCTTACTCTAGGAATTGATTAGTTATGATGAATTAATACACGAATAGAATGAACCAATAATACAATAAAAGTACACTTTTGTTACTGGCTTTAGGATAACTCGCCTAGGGGTGATCGATGTACCAAAAGAATTGATGTTTTTCTACGTATTATTACAAAATTTTTAAATTAAATGATATGAGTGATTTGTTGTATTAATAAATTTTTTAGGTTAATTTAGCGGTTGTATTTTACATCGACATTTTACATTGTATGAATATCAAATGTAGTCTGTCAAAGATCATCCCTAATTCCACCCCTGTGTTCCTGACCTACATTATCATTATTTTTCCATCAATTTTTATATATAAGATAATGTAAATTTATCATCGCTGATTTTAATTTTTTTATATTTACGTTAAGTATATTTTTTTTATAATTTTAGTTAATTGTTGCTAATTATCTATTGTAAATGCAATGCTTAGGCTATCCACTGTAATTCGCTAAGTCGTTCGCACTAATGCATGTGTCATGTGTCATGTGTCATGTGTCATGTGCCACCTGCAACATGTCTTCGTCTAGTTGTAATCGCCCGTTGTCTAGATGCTTTAATATTCATATACTGTCTTTACTAATACTAAGTTTTTTAAGTATTCTAATTAGAACGAATATTTAATATTTCACGAATATTTTTTATGAATGACTGCAGTGCTAACGTAGATAAATTTTATAGGATTAAGAAAGGTAATTAAAATTATATAAATATATTCCATCGGAGCATATTGTCATCGTATACAAGGTTTTTGTTATATTTTACTTATTACACAGGTTTGTCTGTTATACAAATGTTCTAACCTAAACAATATTCCAATTTAAATATTATTATAAAGATGTTTTGCTGTATTGCAAAACGGTTGATGGTACACACAAACAGGTCATTTTTTTCTTTATATAGTTAGGGAGAAGAATTGTAAAAAAAAAAAAAGTTATAGTGAAAGTTAATCTAAGTAGACATTGGAAGATCTTTAAAAGGTTTTACATTTTGAAAATTGTTTGATGCTGTTAGTTTTTGTCGTAATCATGATAATTTAATAAACATTGATAACTTCTGGTAATTGTTTTCTTTTGATATTATTTCCTTTGTGTTATTTAACATATACGTAATTACCTTAAGGTTTATAAAACTTTCAGCGTCGACTCTACAAGTGGGATAGAGCCAGGATGAAGAATTGCCTTATATTGGTCATTGTAATTGTGTGACCAGTCTATAAAAAGGGAGATTTTGAAACTTTATTAAGCTGTTATTTGCAATAATGAAATATTTTATAACTTTAAAAAAGTTCGACTATTCGACTGTCAGTAAGTACTTTTGAAATGACCTATAAAATGTTTTGGTAATGGAAAAGTAGACTCGTCATGAAAGTAATCTGTTCAAAGCCAATTAAAAATACATAAATCTTGAAATCTTTGACTAAAAAACTGGCTTTTTTGATATTAAAAAGTTATTAAGTGATGCGTTTGACATACAATGTAAAGTTGAAGGTGATGGACGCATACTTTCAAGTACAAAATGTATAATCCTATCGTTATATGTTTGTATAAAAGATAATGAATAGTAAATCTATTTATGGTGTTTCGAGTGAGAAATTCCGATGTAAAGAGTTGAGCAATGGGAATTGGCAATGTTCCGAGGCGAGTCGAGTCGAGGCTAGCGCGCGCAGGTTGTAAAAACACCGTTATTCTTATTTACCGTGCGCATCTCTGCGCAGGCGCTGCGCTGCGGCCACCTTATTTACGATACATACGAGATGTCTACACGCGTGCCGTCATTCTTTTTATATTTAATTTCAATTTGTCGACTTTCTTTATTGAGTCAAATTATAGAATTTAACGCATTACAGTAACAATGGACACTTCAATTGCGTGTTGTAAGTAGAAAGTTGAACTTTATCGATGCAAAATAGAAGCTATTAATAGGTCCTTTTCTTAAACTATGCCAGGACAATAAGGAAAAGTTCTAGTATTTTACTACAACGAAGTAAATTACGAACTTTTTTCCATTTATAGAAATATGCCTTAATCCCCTTGTTCTTTAAATGCAGTAATAGAAACTTATGATGGTTTCATCAACTTTTAACAATCAAATGAGACGTATGTTTTATGTTAATTTACAAATTCCGCCACAAATAAATTAGCATAATTTGCTAGAAAGTTGCATAGTATCTCTTCCTCAAAAATAATCGATCGGACGTCAAAGCTCGCATGGATTTTCTGATATATGTTTTTCCGACTTCGTTTCCTGTTACCAGAGTGAGGAGCGTATAGATAAGGCAGAAACATCCTCGCCCGGATTCTGAAAAAGTTGTAACATTACAACCAAGCAACACTCCCGTCAATGGTATCGATTAACTGGAGATTAGGAATAACTAAGAACATTGACTTCAAAAACCGGGCATTTGTTAACGTAACTTAACTGACGGTTAACTGTAACTTTTCTCTGACTCTTTCTCTTTTTTTCAGAGATATGAATAAGTTTAAAATTTTCTGATAAATAAAGCATTGCATCTCCATTTTGCACGATTTACATATAATTAAGCAGCGCATTTGCTTTACCAAGGTGTATTCTTGAAGTTCAAGTACCTGCCACTCATCTCTAGGTGTTTCTTAATAAAGTGAACAATTTACTATATTTAACAGGAAGTTATTTTGTCTAGACCTTCGTTCGTGACTTTTAAAATGTCTATTTTACTTAAGGAACGGATGGGGTCATGTAAAAACCTAGACGTTAGTGCTAAAAGTGTCTTGTGTTTTGACAGTTTTAGATGGATAACTTAATTAAGTCCTTAGTTGTAGAATTAAAATATAATAATATTAATCAACTAGATATAGAATAAATCGCATACCAACGACAATGCTTAACAAAAAAAAAATATTAACAATCGTAAAAAAAGTTGTATTGTCAACTATCGAATAAATAAAACATGGTCGACAACATTGAGAATAACTCGTAAACTATGTGAGATGAAGTAAATAATATTATGAATTAAAGAAAGTACAGTAAATCACAGCATGTTCGGATTGTTCTAGTACATTCCTTGTCAAACCGAATCGATCGATACTTCTATATAAAATTTAACTTCAATAAAATAACCACTACGTATGCAACTACAGGTTTTTTGTACCAATTTATGTCACTAGCTATTATTGAATATACCGTTGTGATTTGTTCATATTACAATGGTAAAGTTCTTAGTTACAATGTATACCAATTTTCCTGTAGCTCATGTCTAAACAGACACGACAATTATAGCTTGATATGGGAATCCGTTGTTGTATTTTTAATATTTGCTGTAGCGTATCGTGTGAGCGAAGAAGCTTTGCTATAGCGATTATCTCCAAAATGATGTTTAAGTGATAATTGGTAACTTTTTTTTAATTGTAGCCTAATTTAATACTAAAATCTTAGCCAAATTAAGTAGGAAGTAGTCTTATTGTTGAAGACTGTGAATAAATCATAAAAAACAAAAAAAAAATACAGTTTAATCAAGTAAAAGGACTATAAAGTTTAAGGACTTTTCTAGAGACACGGCGTGTTATTGACACTGCAAGTGACGTAAATCAGTGTATCGTTTACTGCGCTTGAAAATTTTTACTCGTAAATATCATCTCGGCAATTTTTAACAAACATTTAACATTAATTGTCTACAACATTAATCGAGATTTGATCTTTTCAATTTGTTTTTGTTTTGTATTCATACACATATTAATAACATTGGAGTGTCTGTATGTAATATCGAGAGAAAAATTCGTACACGTGATGTATTTGCGTTGCTGAAAACGAAAAGTTTTTGTCTGTCTGTATGTCCGCAAGACCGCGTTTGTTCAGCGTAATTTCCGGAGCGGCCGATTTTGACGGGAAAATATGCTACCGGGCTTATTATAGGCCACTTTTTCTAAATTCTACGCTAACAAAGTCGTGGATGATCGCTAGTTTTAGGATGAAATTAGAGACAATTTCATGGTTATAAAGTACCTCTGAAGTATTTATTTAAGAAAAATTAATTCTCCATACAAACATCCTCTATTTAAACTTCATTTTACATGCAATATATTTAAAAGTTTATATTTAATGAATGATGTAATTATGGGAATAAATCAAACAAAAGAGTTTGTCTTAAGACGGATTTGTTACTGTGTCGCATTGAATGTTACTGGGAATTTTCTAACAAGAGTCATTTAAATTGTTTGTCCTGCAAATTGTCGAGTGTCTTCGTCATAATATGACTTAAACAAGATGATACACAATTATGAAATACCTACCATCTTAATGTGTGGACACTTGTTGACAATCACTACGACTCTGAGAGAGGTTTAACGACAATCTTTGAATAAAATCTCAAGAGCAATACGTTAATGTGTTTGTTCTTAAGTGTCGAAATCTAATATCCTTTAGGGTTTGAAATACACAGATATGTATGCACAGACAATTCGTTAATGGTGGAAGTACAAAGAAGTGATTTCCCGTTTCATCTCCTAAGACTACTATGATTGGCATATGTAGCTATCAAAACAGATTTAAGAAATAAGAATAAAACGATGGTTGAAATATTTGTGACGAAGTTATACGTGTAATTTGATGTAAATTAATATCGTACGGTCGAATACATACATCTACCCTATCCAACTTTGCGATGTTTACAACTATGGTAAAGATTGGTGTTCGTAACATCAAAATATTTTTAATAGTTTCATACATCTTAGTATATCATATGTTTTCATTGTATTTTATCTATTACAAGATGTCGCCCGCGACTACGTCCGCACGGGATTAAAAAAATGATAGCCGATTCTCAGATCTATTGAATAAACACATAAAATTTTATAAAAATCGGCCGTTTCGGAGGAGTATGGTAACTAACATTTTTACACGAGAATTTTACATATAAGATGTAAAACGAATTTAAATTATTAATATGTCATGAGTTCATTTTTACATACAAGGTAAGATAGAAATAAACACAATTATATGCCATTATTGTAATGTATTTGAAATAATATTGAAATTGTAATGATCAGCATTTTCCTGTACAATTGTATAACGATTAACTCGTGACTGGGATGTAGTATGAGGATGTTGACCATGACACCAAGTTTTGTCATTTTAAAGTGTGATATCACAAGAAATTTCAAAATGAATAGAACATAAAACACGTGAAATTTTGAAAGTTAATATCAGGCCTAGCACAAAATTTTCCGATAAAATATTGGTAACATCATTGACTTTGTATTAGATTTGTACAGCGCCCCTATCGGTCGTAAAGTAAAACGACAAATGTCAACAATTTTTTTCGACGATATTACGATTACTTGTGCAAATTTTCTTGCTAGGTGCCTAATTCCTGCACATTTTTCACTTTCCACTAAGGATATAGCTAAACGAATATGACTTTGAGAAAGTACTAGCCTCATATCTGCGAATATATTTACCACCAGATAAGCCAATATGTCTAACTGATAAATCTATCCTAATAATAATCTAATGAAACCAGATATTTTTATATGAGGCGTTTAATTTATTCCAAATGAAATGGTAGACTGGATTGTTCTAGATGTATGCAAAAGAAACATAAATACGTGTGAAAGGACTTTACCAGAGTGCATCAAACCGATCTTGTATTGAGG